AAGCTGTAAATCTTTATGGGAGCAGAAAGCCTCATCTTTCTCCAGTGGAATGGCTGGTAGTTTCGAACTGCCGACCTTGAGGTTAGCAGCCCGATTTGTAACCACTACGCAACCAGAGTTCCTTACAGAAACTCTATGCAGGGTCACAAAGACTGGGAATTGATACTTCACAGCAGATAGCAGCGGCAGCAGCAGCATTACCAGTGTAGAATCCTGGTATGGAGCTATAGGATAAGTATTGGACTGCAAACAGCAAGGTCAGAGGTTCAAATTCACCAGTTGTACCTCGGCAATTCTACACAGAGTCAGTTACTATGAGTCAAAACTGACTTGATGGCACTTAACAACAACAACAGCATTACGTTAAGTTCTGGTCGGCTAACCACATGGTACACAGTTCAAACCCCCGAGCAGCTCCTTGGAAACCCTATAAAGGGTGGTATCAGTCAGAACTGACTGTACGTACTCAACAACAACAATCTTTTCTATCTTTTTCATGTTTCTTCCTATTCCCAACATTATGCATTTCCTCATATTTTTCCACTGTGCTTTTTAAATTACTATTTTGTTTAGTTATTAAAAATATAAAACATAGTGGAATGAATACGAAGAATAGGACGTACTTAATTTTTAGTATCTTGATCCTTTTATACATATGGCATACAATATTGCTGTTAAGTGCTGTTGAGACTGTTCCGACTCATGCTGTTGTTTTGAAGTGCCCTCAAGTTGGTTGCAAACCTCAGTGACCCTGTAGAGTTTCTAAGGAGTGGCTGGTGAGTTTGAACTGCCAACCTTGTAATTCAACTCGACCTTGTGGTTCAGTGCTTTATCTCACAATACCAATACCAGGACTCCATGCATACAATTTTGTTCTTAAGTGCCGTGGAGTAGGTTCTGAACCATAGCAGCCCTGTATAAGTCAAAGAGTGACTGGTGAGTTTGAACCACAGACTTTGGTTTCAAACCAACCTGGCAATCCAGTGCTTATATAATTTGTTGTTGTGGTGGTGGTTAAGTGCTGTCAAGTCAATGCCAACTCATAGCAACCCTGTATAGGGTTTCTGAGGAGCAGAGGGTGGGTTTGAACTGCTGACCTTGTGGTTCACTAGCAGCTTCAAAAATGTCATTGAAAAGTTCCATTATCTTTTAATTCCATTTGCCACCAACTTTTTGAAGCTCCCTCATATATGCAAACTCATTTGAACTGCAATGTCAGTGGTTCAAGCTCACCAACTGCTCCTTGGAAATCCTATACAGGGTCGCTATGGGTTGGAATGGACTCGACGACACTTAATAACAACAACAACATATATTTGCTAAAACAGCAGCATGTTTATAATATAGTTAAATTTGTTCCTAGACTTCTATATTGCAAAAATGGTCATAGGTCTATAGTTAAGGCAAGCTGATTCCCTGCCCAGTCACAATTGCTAATGCCAGTAGTGCTAACCTGGTCCCAAAAAGTCCTCCATAGTCCTTTATCTAAGGATTTGTTCTTATGTTATAGGAGTCAAGACTGTATCATCACAGAGTGTAAAATCTCAGAACTGTTGAAAGCAGTATCTTTACTGACTCTGTTCCATTCTTTCATTATCTCTTTACATAGATAATAAAATGAAAAGGAAAATAAAATTTGGGTCTCGAGTGAAAAAAAAAAAGAAAAAAGTTATGTAAGAGAATCAGAGATTTGAGAGCGAAATAAGGCTTCACATTTTTAAGTGCCCCATTGTTGTGTTAAGTGCCTTCGAGTGGATTATGACTCATAGTGACCCTATATAGGGTTGCCGAGGCATGGGTGGTGAGCTTGACCCACTGACCTTGCGGTTCAAACCAACCTTGCAGTCCAGTGCATTAACCCACAGCACTACACCAGGACTCCTTTTAAGTATCTAGTGACTGATTATTTCTTACACCTAACATTATTCCTTCATTGATTTCTTTGAAACATTTTTTCCACGTATTTATCAAATTTCTGTTCAGTTTCTACTCTGTGCCAAACCATGTTCAAGCTGCAGATACATTACTTTCCCTTCAACTCATGGATATAGTGACAGCAGCAACGGGCTCAAGCACAGCAATGATTGTGAGGTTGGCACAGGACTGGGTAGTGTTTCGTTCTAGTGTCCATAAGGTCGCTATGAGTTGGTACTGACTCAGTAACATCCATCATTTCGATGATGGGGAACAGGCATAAACATGGTACGGTCTTATGATGATTATTAGATGTCAGGGAGTCCTCCACAAGGGAAGAAGAAAGGTTTAGCCATCTACTTCTAAATATCAGTCAGTGAAAACCAAATGGATCACGTAATTGGAGCTTCAACTTATCAGACAGTATTTCCTTCTGAGTGTGGGCCAACCCAATGTCAGCTAACAATAACAACAGATATATGAGCATAGTATATTACTGTATGGGAATGGGAAGTTTTGATTTAGATGAGTAAAATGATCAACCTTAGATTTTTATAAAAGACAGTACCTGCAAAAGTAAGAACTCAATAGAATTGCCTTGTTTTAATTTTGTTATACATTAAAGAAAAATCCCGTATATGTTCTTCAACCAATCCATTTTTAACCAAGTCTTTTCCACTGAATGTAAGTGAGTGGTTTCTAAGGTTCTAGTTTTTCTGTATCATGTTTGATGGCTTATGATCCCCAAATAATGACAAAGCCTGGAAACAAATCAATGTTTAAATATTATACCATTTGATTATATATAACACCCAGTGTCTTCCAAAATAAAATGAAATGACTCATTTTAAGAGATAGATGTTGGACCTTTTAAAGGCCAGTATACCAAAATGAGATAAATATTTTCTACCCACCTCTAGTAGAAAATCTGCCTTTGATTCTTAGTGAGCATCAGTGCATTAACTTGACAATGAGAGATTGAGGGCTCTATAAAACTTCGAGACTCATTTCTGATGTATCGGTGATGGTTGGATCCACGGATTGTTTTTTACATCCTTGGGGAAGGGGCCTTTAGGGATTGGTTCCCTAACAAGCTCTCCTTTGGAGTTGTTTCTTGGTAATATGCAACTGTATCATTGAAGTGAATTAAACTCCATGGTATCTAAGGGACAAAGTAATTATAGTCTGTCTCCCAAAAGCAGCCAGCTCATCTGCCTTCAGAGACTGATGACTGCAAGAATGAATTACTGGAGATACAGGAAACAAAGATTTTGTAGTCAAATTGTTATTGGTGTTATTGTTAAGTGTCATTGAGTTGACTCTGACTCATAGCGACCCTGTATAGGTCTTCCAAGGAGTGGCAGGTGAGTTTGAACCACCGACCTTTCAGTTCAAGCTGACCTTGTGTCCAGTGCTTATCCTATGGCTCCACACCAGAACTCCAGTAGTCAAATTCTTAGAACATGCTATACCTGAATGATGCAATCCTGGCGTGGCACTATAGCATAAGCATTGGACTACTAACCTCAAGGTGGGCAAGTTCAAGCCCACTATCCACTCTCAGAAACCCTATATAAGGATCAATTATAAGTCTTCTCTGACTTAACAAAAAGCAACAGCATTCCTGCATAG